TGTACCGCGATGTTCATTGCAGCACTATTTACAATAGCCAAGACATGGAAGCAACCTAAGTGTCTATCAACAGAGGAATGGAAAAAGAAATTGTGGTACATATATACAGTGGACTATTACTCAGCCATAAAAAGGAATGAAGTTGGGTCATTTGTAGAGACATGGATGGACCTAGAGATTGTCATACAAAGTGAAGTTAAGTCAGAAAGAGAAAAACAAATACTGTATGTTAACAGACATATGTGGAATCTAGAAAAATGGTGTCGATGATCTTATTTGCAAAACAGAAATAGAGACACGGACATAGAGAACAAACATATGGACACCAAACAGGGAAGGGGGTGGGATGAATTGGAGATTGGGATTGACATATATACACCACTGATACTATGTATAAAATACATAACTAATGAGAAGCTATTGTATAGCTCAGGGAACTCTACTCAGTTCTCTGTGGTGACCTAAATGGGAAGGAAATCCAAAAAAGAGGGGATACATGTATACATATAGCTGATTCACTTTGCTGTACAGTAGAAACTAACACAACATTGTAAAGCAACTATACTCCAATAAAAATTAATTAAAAAAAATAACAGTGAAGGATGAATTCTAATCAAAGCATTGCATCAAGAAGACAATGCAATGACATTTTTAAAGGGCTGAAAGAAAAACATCTTCTCAACCTAGAATTCTATATCCAGTTAAACCAGGGGTCCCCAATGCCCGGGCCACAGACCAGTACAGGTCCGTGGCCTGTTAGGAACTGGGCCACACAGCAGGAGGTCAGCAGCGGGTGAGCGAGTGAAGCTTCATCTGTGTTTACAGCCACTCCCCATTGCTCCCATTACCGCCCGAGCTCCACCTTCTGTCAGATCAACAGTGGCATTAGATGCTCATAGAAGCGCGAACCCTACTGTGAACTGCACATGCAAGGGATCTAGGTTGCGTGCTCCTTATGAGAATCTAATGCCTGATGACCTGAGGTGGAGCTGAGGTGGTGATGCTAGCACTGGGGAGCGGCTGCAGATACAGGTCATCATTAGCAGAGAGGTTTGACTGCACAGAGACCATCATAAATCAATTGCTTGCAGACTCGTATCAAAACCCTATCGGTGAGTGGCAAGTGAAAACAAGCTCAGGGCTCCCATTGATTCTGCATTATGGTGAGTTGTATAATTATTTCACGATATATCACAATGTAATAATAATAGAAATAAAGTGCACAATAAATGTAATTTTCCTGAATCATCCCAAAACCATCCCCCACCCTCCCTGGCCCATGGAAAATTTGTCTCCCATGAAATTGGTCCCTGGTGCCAAAAAGGTTGGGGACCGCTTAGTTAAACTATTCTTAAATGATGAAGAGAAAATAAAGGTATCGTTTGATTCATGGTCAAAGAAGAAATCACAAGGAAAATACGAGCTTATTTCGAAATGAACGATAATGAACACCCCTCATATAGAAATTTGTGGATAGTTAAAAGACTAGTTAGAAGGAAATTTATCACATTAAAAGCTTTCTTAGAAAAGAATAAATGTTAAAATCAGTGACTTATCCTACCACCTTAAAAAGCTAGAAAATGAAGAGAAAGTTAAACTCAAAGAATGAATAAAGAGTGTAGCAATCAAGTAGCAAATAGAGAAATAAAAGAAATCAATAAAGCCAAAGGCTGGTTCTTGGAAAAATTGAATAAAATTGATAATCCCTTGATCAAGAAATATAAGGTACATAATACAAATTACCAATATCAAGAACTGTACATGGGACATCACTAGACATTAAAATGGTAAGAAAATAATCAATTAGCCAATTAGCAAAATGGGCAAATTCCTTATAAAACCAAACATACCAACATTGACCCTAGAAGAAAAAGAACATCTGAATGTCCTTCTATTTGTTAAAGAAAGTGAATCTGAAATAAAAATCCTTCCCAGAAAAGCTCCATGCCCAGAAGACTTCACTGGTGAATTCTACTGAACATTTAAGTAAGAAATGAAAGAATTATATCAACCATACATCATATATTTCAGAAAATAGAAGAGGAGGAATATATATTTACTGGCTTGTTTCCTGAGGGCAGCATAACCCTGATATAAAGACCTGAGAAAGGCATCACAAAAAAGGGAATTGTAGACCAATATGCCTCACGAACACAGGAACATATACCATTGACAAAATATTAACAAAACAAAGACAGCAATATATGAAAATAATAACATGCCACGACTAAGTGTGAGTCATCCTAGGAAGGCAAGGTTGGTATAATATTAAAAAAATCACTCAATATAAATTGTCACATTCACAGATTAAGATAGAAAAATAGACATGATAATCTCAGTCAATGGACAGAAATTATTTGACAAAATTTAATACCCATTCATGTTAAAACATCCCAGAAAACTATATGTAGAAAAGAGCTTCCACAATCTGACAGAAGATGGCTATGAAAAACTTCCAGGTAATAATCATACTGCCTGAGATATTGACCACGTTCCTTACAAAGTTGAGAACAAGGCAATGATGTCTGCTTTCAGTACATTTTCCCACATTTTACTGGACATTTTAAGACAGTGCAATAAGATAAGTACAAGATAAAGTTTATGTAGGGAGAAACAGAATTGTCTTTATGTGACCTTTACATAATTGCATAGATAAAAACTATTAGAGAAACTAAAAAACTCTACATGAACTAATAAATGAACCTAAAAAGATTACAGAGTATAAGGTAGGTATACCAAAACCAATTTTATTTTTATGTACTAGTAAAAAAAATGGAAAGGGGATTTAAAATATTTACAATGATATAATAAATTAATGTTCTTAGAAGTAAATCCATGTAAATCTATAAGACATGCCTGAGAGAAATTAAAGAAGATATAAAAAATGGAGAGATAAACCATGCTCACAGATTGGAAGATTCCATACTGCTAAGATATCTATTTTCCCCAAATTGATCTGTAGATTCACCATAACCCAATCACGATCCCAATCAAAAATCCCAGATTTTTTTTGATGAATTGACAAATGATTCTAAAATTAGTATCTAAATGCAAAGAGACTAGAGTAGCCAAAACAATTTGGAAAAGAGGAAAAATGTTGGATACCTTACCTAATTTCAATAATTAATAGAAAGCTTCAGTAATCAATGCAGTGTGGTATGACAGAAAAACAGATCAATGCACAAAAATAGAGCCACACTTAAACTGTCAATTGATTCTCTGACAGAGGTGCCAAATTAATCCCTATGGTGAAAGGACAGTCTTTTCACTAATGCTGCTGGGACAACTGGATAACTATAATGGGAAGACAATGAACCTCTATCCATACTTCCCAACAAACATGGGTCTATGAATTATAGACCTAAATGTAAAAATAAAACTACTAGCTTTGAGAAGAAAACATAGATGAATTTTTTGTAATCTTGGATTAGGCAAAAATTTCTTAGAGAGGACACAGAAAACACTAACCATTAAAAAAATGATAAATTGGATTCCAAAACTTAAAAACTTCAGTTCAGCAAAATACAGCACTAAGAACATGCATAGAAAAACCCCAGACTAGGAGAATAAATAATAATCAGTTGCACTTTTACATAATAATGCATATGGGAAGTACAATGAAAATAATATTCCATTTATAGCATAATACATAAAATATCTGAATTCCAGGCATAAACTACTAATGATGAAATAAAAGGAAAAAATAACTGCAAAGTTATACTTATGCTTGATTGTATAGACCATAATAAAGATGACAACACTTCCTAATTTAGCAAAGATATTTTAATGTAAGACTAATTAATTTTTCTCAGGATATTTTAAATAACATTTTAAAATGGGATCTCCACACCAAGGAAACATCCCTTTGTTTTTAGTTTATTGACTATTCTTAATAGCACATTTTTATCAGATTGGATTGGGGCAATCAGGAATTCTATAACTGGTCTTTGATTGGTTAGTGACTAGTTAGTGATTGGTTAGTGATTGGTTAGTGATTGGTTAGTGACTAGTCAAACTTTCAAAAAAAGGTTAAGAATACCGGAATGAAAATTAGGCCATGAGCAACTCCAAATACCATAACAAGAAACATAATCTTAAAAAATGTCCTGAAGATGTATGCTTTAGCTGCAGATAAGACACACACTCCTATTATTGTTGAAATTGCACTTTGCAACACAGGGTAGCCTAGCAGATACAATGCCTCGATGGTTTTTTGGTTTACTGAGGGCTTTGAACTGGAAACAAATACATAGGAAATGTGGGCAGAAAAATCAAAAGAAAACCCTATACAAATGACAAGATTAATCATGGATATGGAATCAAGATTGATGTTCCAGAATGCCATGAAACCCGTTACTCCCAAAATCACAGAAGCGATAGCAAAAGTTACCCACAAAGAACACAGCAGGTGAGGGATTAACAGTAAGGAAACAATGAACATAGGTGTTGAGGCAACAATTACATTTCAAACAGTGTTTTCTACTATTGCAGAATACTGATCAAAATATATGAACGCCTGGTTATACACCATTAGGGGAATTTCACACTTTTCGGCCATGTCTCGGAACTGGAGTAACATCAGCTTCTTATTGGTTGAAGAAGAAACACCCATGGTCTGAATGAAGGCCCGGGAACAGATGATTTCCTGTGATGATGTAATGTTAATATCATACATAAAAAGCGGAGAATCTATTACAAAATTGGGAATATTTTTTACAAAAGTTATCATTTACATCGTGATGGTGGTTTTCCATATATTTCACATATTCTTTTTTTTTTTTTTTGCAGTACGCGGGTCTCTCACCGCTGGGGCCTCTCCCGTTGCGGAGCACAGGCTCTGGACGCGCAGGCTCAGCAGCCATGGCTCACGGGCCCAGCCACTCCGCGGCATGTGGGATCTTCCCGGACTGGGGCACGAACCTGTGTCCCCTGCATCGGCAGGCGGACTCTCAACCACTGAGCCACCAGGGAAGCCCCATATATTTCACATATTCTTGTAATCAAAACTCTGTAAGATTTTAATCTACATAGTCACTGTTTTCAAAATCTACAAGACATTTTTCCAATTTTTGCCTAGCATCTCCTTCCCAACAGTCAAGAGCTTCAGTAACAATAAGCATAACCCTGGGACCATAAGTTGAAAAATGTTCTTCTTCTACATTAAAATACGGTGTGATGTAGGAGTCATCACTTGCCAAATTTCAGAGGTCTAAACCTTTCTGCACTTGGAAACACCCATATATACTACTTATGATGTACAAAATGTATATAAGCACTACAAAAACTTGGACTCAGTGCTTGTGAGAAAAGGACCAAAATAGTCTCTAAAGAACAAATTCATTGGGCGGATATCAGCTTTATGTTTGTCTCGGAGAGAATTACATGGGAGGCCGCAGGGCTTTTTTAACGAGGAACATTTTTGGTCAGGAGTTTCTGGTTTCTGCAACCAGCATAGACAAACTACTTCTCTATTACCATCCAGGGCCATAAATGCTCCAAAACAGGTGATGTTATAAAAATAACAAAAGAGAAGGGTTGTTCCTGTATAGATGCAGAAGTATTGTACGGACCTGAAAGAGGTCATAATTCCTGTATAGAAGGCCAGGATGTTGGTGATGGTGGTGATTGTAATGGACACTGCCACTTTTGAATAGACATTGGACATCCGTTCTTTTATGCTATCCATGAGGTTGGTCTTCTGCCAGGCAGAAATCATGATAAACATGTCATCGACCCCAACGCCTGTTAAAAAAAGAAACAGAATCTTCATACATATGAACATCCATTAAACAGATCAGTTCACACCATTTCTTTGTCCATCTCTTAAGGTCTTATTTATCTTCCTCAATCTGTGTTTTGATACTTCTTTCTGTGATGCTTTCTCTGGTTGCCTCTGAATCCACAACAGAACTTATCGCTCCTTGCTCTGTAGTAGCTCTGTGCTTTGCACGTACTCCTATTTGCACAGAGCACAGCATACTCTACTCCTAGTCATCATTTAGGGTGTTTCAATGATGAGTCAGGAAACCTGGCTGCTGGGTGTTAGGTGAAGTGGGATTAGCAATGTATCCTTGACTCCATTAGAATACTTGAGAGACCATTTTCTCCCATAAACCATTTTATTCTAGTGCACTAATGTTGAGCCAACATACTGTTGCTTAAAATATGAGCTGGATTTATCTGTTCTACAGTTAGCATCTAGCTATCAATGTGCTGATTGTAGAGGCACCCCATAGTTTATAGACACACACACACACACACACACACACACACACACACACACA